CCCTCCTTTCCGATACTCATACAGAATGTGGTGGAGATCAGGAGGTTACAACATCATATACTTACATTAAGGAAAGGAGAAACAACAGCACCCCCTTTAAAAAAAAAATCCCAAACAAAAACAAACAGCGAACAAACCAACCAAAAGCAACCAACCAACCAATCAAACAAACAAACGAACAAACAACCAATAAAGCAACCATCCAACAAACAAAAAAAACAAACAACCAACCAACCAACCAACCAACCGACCAATCAACCAATCAACCAACCACTCGACCAACCAATCAACCAACCACCCGACCATCCAAACAATCCAACCAACCTACCAGCCAACCAATCAACCAACCAGCCAATCAAACAAATAAACAAACAAATGAAGCCCGCCTTCCTTTCTCCCAGGCCCCGATATTCATGAGGAAAGTTGTGGGCGTCAAGGGGCCCATCAGTCTGAGCAACACCAACTACTCGGCCCACGCCCTCATGCAGCTGGGAAGTGTCTTCTACCACGGCGCCACGGGACCCGAGTTCGAATTCCTGCCCGAGGACCCAAGCCTCTTCGAGATGCTGCCGGACATGGCCATGCATTTTGCAGATATCAATGAGAAGAAGGTAAGGACTCGTTGTTCGTTGGTGATGGTTGGGGGCGGGCTTGGGTTGGTGGGCACTTTAGATGTTACAGATGGTTTTGCATTTTTTAATTTTTTTTGTTGTCTTTTTTTATTTTTGTAGTCCAAAAGGCGTTGGGAAGTTTAACAATTATCATTTTTTAAACTACATTCGTTGTTTTAGTATCAGTGGTGGAATACTTAGGTAGGAGTTCGATTCCCAAGAGGAGAGATATACAATATTCAGTTTTTCCTCGTCTTAATATTGAGACATAAATGCCACTCATTGTCATTTCTAATCTGAAAATAAAATGCTGATGCGAGCTTAAAACATTTACTTCCATTCCTAGGCTCGAGGATTTTGACTGACGTCTTTGGGGATGTCTTCTTTTTTTCGACGTATGACACGATCAGACAATTCTAATCAAACCTACAACTACAAAACACATCATTAGCCATATTCATAAATTTACTGCGCTCTAGTCAATAATAAGCATTGTTGTCCCGACCACGCTCAGGGAGGATTCTATTGAAGATACCTGCTTACTCACTGGTTCTGTCCTCGAAACCATTTATGTACCTGTTCACACTTCGGTAACTTCTTTTGATTTGTTCATCATCTCGCTGTGTAGAAGGGTTTTTTTTCCTTCTGGAACGAAGAATCCACTTTGAGAATACATTATTTAATTAGGGTTGACGGGTACATAGTTTTTTTGAAGTAGTGTAGTAGTTTTCTCAGTATAGAA